TTCATGTATGTTAGTACGTGTTAATATTTCATGTATGTTAGTATGCGTGCTAATATTATTCTAATAAATGAGTCACAGGAAGCCAACGTGTTTCTCAAACAAAAGTTTTATTAAAGCATCTAAAACATCACGTGACAGTTTAAAGAACAAGCGATACCAACACGTATGAAGCCGAGTCAGACTGACGGATCGGTTTAAAGGTGCTGCAAGTCGGCAGCGACTGTTTCAGGACTCGAGCTCAATAACGTCTGTGAAGCTCCGTTTGAACCGGCATCAATTATTCATGGCCTCGTATTCGCTGTGTGACAGAAGCTTCACACGTCAGACCTGCTGCATCAGTGATCGTCTCCTCGTCGTCCTTCTGCAGCGCTGGAGGACGCGCTCAGCGCCGGCGGACACGTTAGATCCTAAACTCTGCAGAAAGTGTACAAAGTAATGTGTGGAGGCCTCTTAGAGACAGCAGGCGGGAAAATAACTCAGAGAAATATCAAGGAAGGATTGTGCCAAAAAAGTCAAACATTTTCATGGTTTTGTTGTTTTCTCTCCAGGAAACACGAGGTGTTAGCCATCAACAATCCGACGTATCAGGTATTCAGGAATCATAAAGACTGGTTTGGTCCTCATCATCACACAAGCTTTCTGCATCTGGACGGTCGAGTCATAGAGTTCAGATTCACTGCCGTTAACCGGTGACATGAACGGAGGAGTGTTTGGTATCAGCTGAACCTGCAGACATGTCCGATCTGTGTAAACGTTTTAGTCCTGAAAGAGGATTCCTGCACTGAGTTAAATCAACCCTCTGAGCCCCGAAACCCGCCGGCAGGTCTGAAAGACGTTCTGTCTCCTCCTGCTTCAGGTTCTGGTTCCTCAGAGCTGCAGGACTTTAACATGAAGCTCAGAACCAGGAGCTGCCCCGAACCTTCAGAGGTTTCATAAAACCATCAACCAGGACTTAAGATGAATGTTTGAATCTCTACTTAGCAGCTTGTAAACTTCACCAGACTGACTGCGTCTGATCACTATTTTCCCCATTGTTATTATTATTATTATTGTTGTTGTTGTAAAGTTGTTTCCCGCCTTCACCACCAGTTCAACAGTTAATAAGATAGAAATCTGAGCGTATGAAACTACCTGTGGTCTGATAGATGTCTGTTTTACTGTCAGACTGGTTTAATGCGGACGTGGAGGAGGCTCGCTCTGAGCTGCAGTGTTTCTAACATCCACAGTCTCGTGGTTGTAAATCTCCGTCTGAGTAAAACTCTGGAGCAGACTGAACTCTGGTCGTCGACTAGTAAACATCCGTGTTCCTCCCAGGTCAGGCTGGTCCAGAACATGTGAAAGTATGAAACACTCGGATCCTGAAGCATCGGGTCTCTCTGTAAACCTCGACAGCGTCCTGCTGTCGTGTCCCTTCGCCTCAGCAGAACCAGAATATTGCACAAACGACTGTAAAAAGCAGGAAAGTCCAAAGTCTCAGGTTCAGCAGCAGCTCGACTCTGCAGGAACGAAGCTGCTCCTCAGCAGTCAAACTTCTTTTCTTTTTTTTCTGCTTTTTTTTTTTTAGCGTTTCCAGAAGCTCAGCGATCCAGAAGGAATCAGCTGCAGTGTGAGAATCCAACAGCAGGCGGCGCCGTCTCCTCACCATCAGCTGGAGCTGCTGCTCTGCTGCAACTTGGACGCTGAAACACAACAGAAGGGATGAATGTAGATGTGAACCTCTGATGAAGTGCAGCTCAGACTAACGATCAAAGCCTCCTGCACCACGTGAACCAGACTTCAGCGCCGTGGTTCCTTCTGGCGGCTCCTGATTGGCTGCCTTGCTGCTGACTGACCACAGAAGAAGTTTTCTGATCTGAACTGAGGAGGCTACTTTGAGACATGCTGAGCTGCATTTCTGCTGCTTTGCTGCCTCCTGCTGGAGAACACAGTGAGCTGCAGCCTGTTTACTCTGAAGGAAACCAGCCGGTCCGGTTCCTGTGAGTCACCAATGATCCTGCAGGACCCCGGCTTTAGACTGCAGGTGTTTAACACAACATTGTGGAGTTTGTCTGAAATATCCAACTTATACATTCACACCGGAAATGATTAATGATTAATGAATGATGTTAATATTTAAACCTGTCAGAAGTTTTATTCCTCTGCTGGAAAACACTTTGACTCCACTGCTGTGGCTCTAAATGTTTAAATAAATGTGACTTGACTAGTTCTGACTTTACTTTTCTTTCTCTGTAACCATGAAACACACATTGCTGCCTTTAACGGATAGGTAGGTACAGAAACATATTTTGCATATTTTCTGTCTCTAAAATATTCGATTAAAGTGTTTTTATTTATACGGTGAATGTTTCTCAGTCAGTTTAATAATGTGAACTCTGACTATAATTCAACATTCAGCTACATGTGCAGCAGGTTTCTGGATTGTTTGTGACTGACGATGGTTCTGGTTCGTACCTGTTCGCTTCCTGAAGCGTCTCTTGGCTTCGGCTCGTTCCTCAGAGTTGAAGTACCAAACGGTGATGGCGTACCTGGAGCACAGGAGGCAGCGTGTTAGCGGTTATATGAGAGTGTTTCACATCGTGATGCTCTTCGGCATCGTTTAGTGACTGTGGACGACTTTACTGTGTCTCTGGTTGTGTTTGAGTTTCCTCCTCCTGCTGTCTGGAGCTAATGATAAAGCTATGACAAAGTTCATTCTGTTGAACAGTCGGGGTCACATGACATTCTGTCGCTGCAACTTCATTTATTTTCAGGATGAATCATTCCGAATAATTTTGTCCACGACTCCAAGACGTTCAGTTTACTGTCAGAGGAGGAAAGAAACCAGAAAACATCAGAATGAAAAAGCTGGGGCCGCCTGGTTGAGCTGGCGACCCATGTACAGGAGCTATAGTCTCCAATGCAGTGGCCATGGGTTCGAATCCCACTCATGGCCCTTTGCTGCAGCCCATTCCCCCATTCTCCTCCCCCACTTTCCTGTCTCTCTTTCGACTGTCCTATGCAATGAAGGCAGAAAGGCCAAAAACTAACTTGAAAAAAAAAAGAATGAAAAAGCTGCAGTCACTGAATTCAGACTAACAACCAATCATCAACAAACACGGTGAATCATTTCACCGATAAATCGCTGCAGCTCTTCTACGTTCCTACAGAAGACACCTACAGCTGTAGTTACATATTGACACCAGCAGGTGGAGCCAAACACCAGGAAACAGAAGGTTTCTGTTCAATCTCCCCAACAAAGACAGGAGCAGCCAGCATGAAGGATTTCCCTTCAGATGTTATGCTGTATATTAAAACGGAGTATTTTAACCTGCCGGTGCTGCAGAGAGCGGGCCCAGGCGGGTCCATGTACAGGACGGTTCTGGTTCATGAGAGCAGGAGCTGACGAGGATTTTAGTGGTTTTGTGTTCAAATATCCCAACATGACACTTTCCTAGTTTTAAATCATTTCTAGAACTGATTTGCATCTAAAGGTTTCCTCCTACAGCTGAACTTAAAGCCCGTCCATCCGTTCTAGGAGTGGTACCGGTTTCAATCCTCCAGAGTTCCACTCCTCTGTGACCCGACTGTGTTCATATTTCTGATCACTTCTACAATCAGAATCTGTGTTATTGTTGTTTGTCTTTGATGGAGACAACATTTAAAGACTAAACATTAAATGAAAGCATCACAACTCAAAGTTAAACAGTATAAACAGTAAAACAACGTTTTTTTATTTTTATAAACAAAATGTGGAACATTTAGAGTTTAACGTCAGAATAACGTTTGGTTTGAATTCAAACTCTGGATCAGTAGAACACATGAGCCATCAGCTGACTGCTGGGTTGGTTAGCTGGTTGGTCAACTGCCTGAGTGGTCAACTGGTTGACTGGTTACCTGGCTGGTTGGTTATCAGGCTAGTTAACTTGTTGTCTGTTTAGTTATCTGGTTAGGTAACTGGTTATCTGGTTAGTTAACTTGTTGTCTGGTTGGTTATCAGGCTAGTTAACTGGTAATCTAGTTAGTTATCTGGTTAGTTAACTTGTTGTCTGGTTGGTTATCTGGCTAGTTAACTGGTTATCTGGTTACCTGGTGCTGTAGGACGGCTGCACCTCGTGCGGGTTCCGGCGGTCGGACCAGAACAGCAGAAGTCTGTCGAACAGCGGCTTGATGTCGGCGACGAACGGTTTCCCTTCTGGAAAGATCCGCAGGACGCCGCCGTGCTGCTGATCAATAACCGGTCAGTTAATGTCACGTCCAGCAACAAATCAAAGGTCAACATCCATCATTTGTTGTAGCTTTAATCTTGGCCATAAGTTCAGCAGATCAGGAGATCTTCCATCAGTGGTTCCACTACAGAAGCTGGTTGGTACCTCAGTGGGTCAACCAGAACCTGCTCTCAGTGAGTTAATATGAAGCAGGTGAAGCTGCCAGCAGGTGAGCAGACGTGGACAGGTGTCCAGAAGAACCAACTGTGGTCCGGACGGAGAGTAGAGCTGAAGACAAACTGCAGCTGGTGTCAGTACCAGTACCAGTACCAGTACCAGATCAATAATATGATCTTATAATAACTGAATACGAAGCTGTGGAGCTTTGATCTGTCTCTGTGATCAGATTCTATCCCTGGATATAATCAGCTCTTAGTGGAACATCACATGCATTTCAAATATCGTGCAGTCAACAGAAATAAAAGCTAAAACCAGGCAGAGTTCATCCACTGAGGGCGTCTCATCGGGAAACAGAAGAGCTCAGGTGGTTTCCTAAAACCTAAAGAGTCTCCAGAGCCTCAGACCGTCTCCTCTTCATGTTGACAGGAACAACGGTGTGAAGCGCAGCAGACAAACTGTCAGGACGCTGATTTCTGCTCCTGAACGAGCTGGTCCCTGAACGCTACCTTCTGCTGAAGTCACCTCATCACCTGAAATCCTGCTTCACAGTGAAAAACTCTTCTTCTGATTCTATAGAGTCGAGCTGATGTCAAACATGATCACCAGGACCTGATTAGTGAAGACCATAAAGTGTCACATGACCTGGAACCAGCTGATCTGAATCAGGAAACAACCAGAGGTCAGAGGTCCCTGAACGCACCTTGTCGCTCCAGTTCTTGTTCAGGTAGTAGATGCAGGTGATGCAGCGTCCGTCTCTGTTCGGGTTGTCCACGTGTTTGACGTAGCCGGAGCCGTTTCCAGGGTAACACGCCACCATGGCCTGATGACATCACAGAGACGGAGGTCAGAGTTACAGCTTTACTTCCTGTTCCTGCTTTAAACGGAGAACCTTTACTTGAGTACTTTACTCCACTACAGCTCTGAGGTTTCTATGTTCATGACACTTTAAACTGGTATTTTACAGCTTTAGTAATGATCCAGTAGTGCTGAGATGGTTCATAACTAAACCCAATAATTAGTTCACAGAAGTTTCATCTGCAGGAATCGAATAATAATTAAGAACCAGTCCATCATTAGATCGAATATTCAGCATTTCTCACTTACTGTGACGGTTTTTAACTGTTTCCTGATAAAATAAATGAATTTATAAATGTGCCAACTCTTGAAAAAGTTCAACAATTAAAATATGAACAAGTGTTTTCAGATAAATCAATAAGTAACGCAAAAAAACACCATCTAAAACCTGGACATTAATGCCCCAAAACATCTAAAACCTGGATATTAATGCCCCAGAACATCTAAAACCTGGATATTAATGCACCAAAACACACCAAACTATCAAAAGGTTTCCTGCATCACCTCCCTGCAGCGCTGTGACCTTTCGACCCCGAACAGGAAGCGTCTGATCGGCGGATCATCGGACATCAGACCGTGTCAGAGTCAACAAAAGCTCCGACTGAAAGTTTCCTTCCAGGAAAAACAAAAAGCTTCAAACAGCTGATTGTCGGAGGTCACTGCAGGTCATCGACTGTTCATGCGTTTAACCTCATAGAGGATCTGGGTCCAGGATCTGGGTCCAGTCTGGCTCGTTGTGGTTTCTGTTGCTGCTCTCTGGCTGCTGCTGCTGCGTTTTCTTCAGTTTCACTCATTTAATCTATTAAATCATTTTTAGTTTTTCTTTGTAAATAGATCCATGTAAAGTCTGAGGTTGTTTCTGGTTGATATTCTGTGTTTGGTTCAGATCGGGTCCAACAGTTTGAAATCATGGACTTTATCTTCGTTACAGCTGACGGGATTTTTAATCTTTAAAAAAACTCATTTTCCTTTTCTTTTTTTAGAACTTTTTAACCATTTGTTTTTTTTCTTTTCTTTGTATTTCTTGTTTTTTTCTCAGATCTGAACCGTTTCAGTATTTAAATAAAAGCAGGATGCGAGTATGTTCCTTGACTGTTTGATTGTTTCTGATTTCTTTCCGTTGTCGGTTCGCTGTTGCAGCTTTTGACTTTTCATTTATATATAAATACATAAAAGATGAACGTCTACAACACGCTGCACAACAGACACCTCAAACTTCATAAAGTAAACTTTAACAACTTTTTTAAACTTTCAAGTCTCATATTTAGTTTCATCCAAACAAATAAATGATTTTTAGGACCTGTTGGTTTACTTTAATGCAACAAAACCTCCAAAACGTGGACGTTAACGCACCCAGACAGAGACAGCTTCAGGTTGGGTTTCTGGATGTCTCGTCGTTTTTAACATGAAGCTCACGAATAAAAGGAAACATTAGTTCCACTCAGATAAACTTTTATGACATAGAATGTGTTTTTTTGTTGAGATAAAATCAGAACCAGCGTATTCCACGACGGATTGCTTCATCAGACGCTCCCTCTGTCCTCTGGTTTATCTCCATCCTGTCGCTGACGTCTGACCCTGATGCTGACGCAGACTCAACACCAGCTGCTTTTATTCTGCTGCACCGTCGCCTGACTTTTATTTGTTGGTGGAGAAACCTGCAGCGAAGCACGAGTGCATGACGTCGGCAGCTTCACCTGGCGTGCAGTTTCTGAGGACGTGCACGCCGCTGCACGCTCAGGAGGAGCAGGTTCACCCCCACGTTAGGGACGGGTCCCTGAACGCAGCACCAGCAGCCGCACGTGCTCAGTAGCCTCCCTGACGTCAGCGGTGACCACCTGACGTCTGTGTTTACAGGATCAATGCATGCGACCACACGGAGGCCACGCTCCCTTTCTATAGGATGGGACATGCCCCCTCTGCTGCCATGACAACGACCCCCCCAGCTGATAAACAACGACACCCTGAGGGGGAGCACGCACGTTTGTTTACACGCTGATGACCAGATATGGACTCATCATCATCATCATCATCATCATCACCATGAAATGAAGAAATGCGTGCGCGCGCGCACACACACACACACACACACACAGGAAGTGATGGTGTGGACGCTGAACGCCTGCGAGCGTCTCTGACTCAGCTCCCTGGTGTCGGCCTGCAGAGAGCTGCTGAGGGATGGTGGAGGTCTGGCAGGTTTCCAGGCTGCCGGCGGTTTAATGACGGCCTACGTGAGGAGCATCAGGCTGCACTCTGAGCACCACAACAAAACAGTGGAGCTGCTAAAGATCCAACTGGTGGAACACAAACTGGAACAACTCAGTCAGAGCGATGTCAGACGACAACAACCAGAGAGACACAAAACCACCACAAAGAGACAAAACCACCACAAAGAGACACAAAACAAC